TTACTAAAATCAGTTTGCTTACTCGTAACAGAGAGTTACCTGAGGCTCAGCCACCCCGATGTGATGTAGTTGAGCTTGTTCTGAGGCTGGGGTCTGTTCATCAGACCGAAGTAGTCCCAGAGAGTCCGTGGGTGTGGAAGATGCCAGCTCAGAGGGGCTCCGCCAGTTCCAGGTGTGTGCCCCACTCCCGGGTGCATTTCTCTCCAGAGACCCAGCAGGCTGCAGGGGAAGCAGGGTGCAGCCCCCAGCAGGGCGCATTCTCCATGTCTTTTGCCTGAGCCTCCAGGGTACCTCTGTATCTGAAAAATTCCTCCCAGTGTTAGCCACCAAGTGAAAAGCTCCTTTCTGCTCTTGGGCCTGCTGTCTCCATCCAGTTCTCAAAGATCATTAAGGTCAGGTTTGGAAGTACAATTGTGGAGTCTGAGGAGGAAACTCAAAGCTTGTGGAGTTTATGCCAAATATCAGGATCCAATTGGGAGATGAAGTACACTGTCAGGATAGATCGTCTCCCCCCCCAGTGTCAGGACCTGAATTGGGAAGGAAGGAGTTGAAAGAGACACTTTTTTGGAAAGTGAAGGCGGTGAGAGCAGGTGGCCTGCAGATCAAAAAGTCCAACAAGCTTCAACCTCAGCAGGACAGAAAGTAAAAAGCAAGCATTGAAAACGAAACCTACCTCCTCCTGGCTGTTGAGTCCCTGATGGGTTTTAGATGGGGATACCACATCCAAGCGCTCTTCCCTCGGGTAAGAAGGGGTTGACTTCTCAGCTCCCCTTCTGAAGCTGAGGGGAGCACAGCAGTTTGGTCACACGAGCCTCATCCATCTCACTTGCAAGCTTACAGTGAGCATCCTCACCCTGAAATAGAACCTTTTTCTCATGAGTAGCTGACTTTTCTCACCTGCAACTGTAAGCTTTTCCTCCTGAGTGGCTGACTTTTCTCCCTTTTTCTGTTCTGAACCATTAGAAGATTCCCTTCTTTTCTTGCATCTGTATTCTGTAAAGACGTAAAAAGCTGCACATATGGAATTTCATCTCATTTTGCTGATGTTGTTGGCAAAACAATTTAAGCTGTAAAAAAGTACAATAATTTAAGGAATGGTTCAACTCAGGAACTCTGACCCTTGTGCACAAGCGATTCTCCTACCTCAGCTTCCCTAGTAGCTGGGACTACAGGCACCCACCACTGTCTTTTTTAGACAGTCTCACAGTGTTGTCCTCAGTAGAGTGCCATGGTGTCACAGCTCACAGCAACCTCAAACTCTGGGGCTTAAGCGATTCTCTTGACTCAGTCTCCCAAGTACCTGGGACTACAGGCACCTGCCACAACACCTGCCTATATTTTTGTTTTTCTTATCATTGTTGTTTAGCAGGCCCAAGCCAGAGTCAAACCCATCAGCCCTGGGGTATGTAGGTGGCACCCTAACCACTGAGATACAGGTGCTGAGCCGCCTGGCTATTTTTAGAGACAAAGGTCTCACTCTTGCTCAGACTGGTCCAAACTTGTGAGCTCAGGCAATCCACCCACCTTGGCCTCCCAGAGGACTAGGATTACAGGTAAGAGCCACCACATCTGGCTTTATTTTTATGTATTTTTTTTCCTTTGGTTGTGTCTTTAAAGTATTTTATTCCAAGGCCAGAGGCCATGGCTCACACCTATAATCCCAGCACTCCCTGAGGCTGTGGATTGCTTGAGCTTAGGAGTTTAAGACCAGCCTGAGCAAGAATAAGACCCTGTCTCTAAAAATAGCTGGGCATTGTGGCAGATGCCTGTAGTCCCAGCTACTAGGAGGC